TACAATGGATATCTGTCAAGCTATCCTCAATTACTCTTGTAGCTTTCTGCCCTTACCTTTTTTCACCGTTCCCTGATTCATGATACGAGACAATCATGTCTCATGTTAGGAGTCATTCATTACGCATGAGACGAGTCATTCATGTCGCATGACAGCAGTTATTCATGTCGCGTCATGTCGCCTATTTCTTCAATAAATGTCCACGAAGATTACCTAATATCGTTCTCACACGCTTCTGCTAACCAGAGAATCGTGACCAGCTGTTCGAAGCAGGCCAGATAGATATTACCTAGATCTCCCTAGTGAAGGGGTTCCCGAGTGGGCTTCAGCTCTTGGGCTACAGCTTAACTTATAGCTGGACACACCCATGTATAAATTCGCATCCAAATACATAAAGGCAAAATACTAGAGAAATTAATTGACATCTTGAGTTTTTTCCCCTTGCAAAAAATACACTAAAAATAATTTAAGAAATGTGGTCACTTGGATACAGTGACTCATATTAATTGAATTTTGATATCAAAGAGCTTTGGCTGAGGGAGAAGAGAGGTCAACACGTTGGAGAGGACCCCCATGGAAGGCTGCAAATGGAGGTCAGGTCACCATCAGACGAGTCAGTTCATCCCGGGGAAGCTGATCAACCAGGGTCACATCTTTCATCACACTGGCGAAGGCTCCCCGACTGACTGTAGCCTCGTGTCCGCTGTCGGAGGCCCCGAAGGACGAGGCTCCGACGACGTACTCGTCGAAGAAACGCGCCGCCAGCGCATTGGAGAGAACGTCATGAAAGGCCGTGACAGGTCAGGTCAGGTCGCTGGGCCAGGTCATCCTTCAGCAGGCGAGTCAGGTCACCATGCCCAAGCTGCTCCACCAGACACAAGTCGTCCAAGATCCTCGAGAACGCCTCCTTCAGGAACTCCCGCTGAAAGTTCACGAAAAAATGCCGGAGAAATCATTACTGTTTTATAACTAAAAATGATTTGTATTTCAATATTAATCATTGAGAATTAAAACTGTACTAAAGTGAATATGGGAGTTGCAGTATTCCATATGGTTTAACAACCTGTTGATCCGTTAACCTGTAGAACCAGGGCCTAGGTTATGAAGAGGAGAGCGTAGGAATACAGATAAGATCGTGGGAATACAGATAGTAGCGTGGGAATACAGGTGAGAAGGACAGGTATCTACCAGGAGAAAGCGCCAAGCCATTACGACTATATAGCACTTGGAAGGGGGGGGGGTAAGGATAAGGATTTGGAATGAGACTAGATAAGAAGGAATGGTGCCCAACCACTTTATGGACGGTTGGGAGACTGGACACCACGAGCATAGCTCTACTGTAAATACACTCGAGTAATTACATAGCTTCCATACACAGATTCGAACGTAGATACGAGACAGAGACCAATAGGCTCAGGAACCTGTACACCAGTTTATTAACAGTCGAGAGGCGGGACCAAAGAGCTGAAGCTTAACCTCTACAAGCACAACTAGGGGAGTACGCACACCTGGTGGATAGCGCGCTGGACTCTTAATTCTGCACCGCGGGTTCGATTCCCGCACCAGGCAGAAACAAATGGGCAAAGTTTCTTTCACCCTGAATGCCCCTGTTACCCAGCAGTAAATAGGTACCTGGGAGTTAGTCAGCTGTCACGGGCTGCTTCCTGGTGTGTGTGTGTGTGTGTGTGTGAGAGAGAAAAAAAGTAGTTAGTAAACAGTTGATTGACAGTTGAGAGGCGGCCCGGAAGAGCAAAGCTCAACCCCCGTAAACACAACTAGGTGAATACAACTAGGTAAACACACACACACTCTCTCTCACTCACTCACACACACACACACACACACACACACACACACACACACACACACACACACACACACACACACACACACACACACACACACACCACAAACACTTACGATGTCTCTCCGGCTAACATTCTTCACTAAAGAATCCTTCAATGATCGTCTGGAAAGAATAACTTCCTTCCTGGGACAGTGGTTGTTACGTCCTACGAGGCTCCAGCTCCGGATAATCACCATTGGACGGCCTTGTTAGCAGTTATGTTGGGTGTCCAATCACAGCCCAGCGTCATCCTGTCACCGCCAAGTTGGCAGCCAATAAGCTACGACTCTCGGAATGCTCCACCTCAGCTGGTAGCCAATCGCAGACGCCCGTCTTGTTATAGAAAACTATATAACATATATATGACAAAGGTTTTTGTACATTAGTATTATTTACAAGTTATATGATGTGGACCAACATGATAGCGGGTCTAGGCTCAAACAACCCAAAAAAATCTACTTTAAAAGTCTAAAAAGTAAACATAATAAAGTCTAGGCCCAAAAAAGTTCAAAATAAAAGTAATTAACAGTCAAACTACCACTCAATCTTCCTATTTTCTATAACACCGGAAAGTGGGGATATAACCTAACCTAACCTGCTGGACACCTTTATCACGTAATACAAACGTAACCATTGCGGAGAAAAAAAAAAAAAAAAAAAAAAAAAAAAAAAAAAAAAAGTTCCGTCATGGCAATCTTGCACAAGCATGCAAGCATCGCTACGTCATCTAACCCATCCTCGACTCAAGTCCATTCCATCCAGCGGTCGACCCCACAGACGCATTCATTAACTTTTACATGGTGTTCAGTCAAAACTGGAATTTTCTCAAATATAAATTACTATATTTGCATATTGTGCATAGGTTAGGTTAGGTGTTTAGGTTCTGTTGGCGATTATTTGTATTTGTAGTACGTGGGTGAAGCATTTATAGCGTTGTAGTTCGAACACAAGTCGTCAGTGAAGCACTTGTTCCAGATATGTTCGAACGTCAGCAGTTGTGAGTCTTGTGTAAACCGCTTTTCATTCATAAACGGGGTTTGGTGGGTGGATGGAATCACTTTTGGATCTTTATTTGGAGGACGGGCTGCATTTGCAACGTTGGGGTTCGAACAAAATCCGTCAGTGAAGCACTTGTTCCGGAAGTGTTCGAACGCCATCAGTCGTGTGTAAAGGGTTTTTTATTCATAAACAGGGGGGTTTGGCGGGTGGATGGAATCACTTTTGGGTCTTTGGAAGACGGGCTGCCGGGAATGGAACTCAGGACCGAGGGCAGATGAGCAGTGGGTCTCCTACGCCCAGAGGAGCACTGCCGTCACGGGGGGAGACTTTAAAAAGAAGGCTTTGAGACTTGGCTAACTGACCAGGACTCTCCCAAGAGAAGTCGACAGCTTCGGGACCAGGAATGTCCATTAGAGTCTGTCCGGGAAGTGGCGACCCAGGCAATGGTAACCTCCGGGTCGGTTGGACTCTTTCCACCAAGCGAAACTTGACGGATAGAGGTTATCTTGAGGCTATCTCGAGATGATTTCGGGGGATAATGTCCCCGCAGCCCGGTCCCCGACCAGGCCTCCACCCCCAGGAAGCAGCAGCTGTCTCCCAGGTACCTATTTACTGCTAGGCAACAGGGGCATCAGGGTGAAAAACATTTTGCCCCGTTTGTCTCCGCCTCCACCGGGAATCGAACCTGGAACTGCGTGACTACGAATCCGAAGCCCTGTCCACCCAGCTGTCAGCATCCAGAGATGGACTAAAGAATGTATGGCAAACTCTGGCATATATTAATCTTTCGGGAAAGCGACTATTCAGCATTAATCATATTGATCAAGTGTCTAATGTTATTCGAACATACGGATGTAGGAAATCATGGTTT